ACTTGCTAATTTTACTAATTAAATATCTATGTTCTATTGGGTGGAACTCTATGTTTGACAGTATTATACAACTCTTAAGATATAAAGATAAATAAAATTTAGTAATGGAAGAACTTAGTATAAATTATAGTTTTAAGGATAAAGATTTAGAGTATTTAGAAGAATTAGCTGTTATATTAAACACCATTATTGGAGCCTTGGGTTTTTTATGGGATGAAAATCAATGTTACTTTGGGCAGCTTTTACTCACATTATATTTACTGAAAATTAGGTTAGAAACGTTAAAGAAAAATATTTCGTTATTTAGCCAATATGACGACACCATTAGTTAATTTTTTTAGTAAAACGATTTGGTAATTTTTTCGAACCATCTCCCAATGAAAATGAGGCATTTTAGCAACTTGTTTCCACCCATGTTATAAATTAAGATTGGTTCCAAATTAACATGACCATGAAAAAAATATAATTCAAAACCTATGTACAAATGCAGCAGAAAATAGTTTCAATGATATTAGTTATAACTAATCATATTCTTATGACAAACTTCATTTTTTTTTTATTATAACAAGAACAACTAAAACTACAAAGTAAGTTGATTTTGAAGTAGTTATTCTTTCAATGATAAAAATAAAAATTAAATATGCTTGATAATTACCCAGGTAAAAAAAAAAAAAACTTTTTGATCTATTCAATACAAGTTTATGTTATTCAGTCCCTGTTGAACGTATATTTTCATCTGCATGATTTATAAATCATCCACCTAGAAACAAGTTATTTGATATTACTTTTGAAAAAATTGTATTTTTTATATTTTAATGATATATTATTATAAAATATTATATTTAAAAAAAAAAAAAATCAAAAATTTCTTGACTACTTAAAAATGTATTTTTAGTATTTGTATATTTTTAATACTCATATATTTTTGTGTAATGAGCCCAACCCTGATTATTATGTTACTAATTATACTTATTATACCTACTTATTAACCCTAAATATAGACTCATTTCAATCAACCATTATTATAATACTTATATTGTTGTTGTAATTATATTATTATTATCTAAAACCATGGTTTCCATTGGAATAATATAGACATAACATGGTGAAATGGATGCAATTATTATTTAAAATTAATTTTATTACATCGAGTATCGAGTATTTCAATACTTATATTAAAGTATCTTGCTCATCTTTGTATGTGAGTGGGTGTATGTATGTATGGTGAATTTATGGGTGCGTGGGTGAGCTGTTGACGTTTATAGTTGAGAGAATATTTAAATTTCTCGAGATATTCATGATTTTTTTCTTATCATTCTGATTGACTGAGTATTTGTTATGTGAGCTGTTTTAAATTAAAATCCCACAAAATCGCGCGTTTGGCGAGCATAAGATTCCAGTGAATTTGAAATTCGAGAGTTGGCAGAAAATATTATTTATTATATTATTGGAATCTTTAGAACCCCGAATGGTGTAACCCACCAACTGATTATTCGTTACCTGTGATATTATATTTTCCACTTTCATTAGAAATAATTCTTCAGATCCGTATAAATAAATAAATAAAAACAAATACCATATCTACTGGTGGTGATTTTGTTTACATAATGTTTGGTTGATTGTTTGAATGTACGGGACTAGAAGGGTATATTTGAGTGGGGACTGAATCGATTTCATGTGTGAAATAAAATTATATATATATATATATATATATATATATTTATATTTATTCGTATTCTCTCAAAAAAAAAAAATTCTGTGGAATAAATTTCGGAAAGTTGACACTTTTCCTTAATTTCATCGTTCACGGAACAGTTAATCCTGTATACGACATTCAATTATGCAGAACCTTCAAAATATAATTGTACAATTTTATATCCATAAAATATAATATCGTATGTTAAATGTTATCTTTTTGATTTATGCGTTTGTTATTATTCAAATACGTAAAAGTATTCTTTGCACAGCAATGGCTTTCATTTATATTCATTCATTACGGAACAATTATCAAGTGATTAATAAACAGTGACAATACGAATATGATTTCTAGAAATAATTCTAATTTAAAAGTAGAAAGAAAAAACTCGTGGTTTACTAACGAATTATCTTAATGGTACATGAAATATTTCAATTTTTTTTTTTATTTTATAAACGGTTTTGAATAGTTTAATCGTGATTTGAAGAAAAAAAACAGCTGTAATATATTTTGTTGTTTGTGAACCAAACAATGATTACGCTGTCTTAACAATTGACAGATTTATTAGACTTCTTTCTTTGTAGCATCAGATAAATATGTTTTCTTTTAAACAAAATAGTCTTGTATTCCATATTGAACAAACTTCCATTCCGCCGAATCGTTTTTAAAAACTGTTAAATAAGAATGGTAGCAAGAATATATTTGGAGATCTGAAAACTATTATAAAACATTTCGTATTTTACCGGATTCGGATATTTAGCAGTTTATCGTATTATCGTTGATGGTGTTTTTTCCCTTACAATATTATCTTAATTCATATTCAAATGTCATTGAACTGAAATTACCAGTTAATTGAAGCATATCTACTAGCTGATAAATTAAATTTAAAAAATACCTCATTAAAAATGTTATATGACATTATAATGTAATGATAATAATTATTACTTATTTCGAAAATTGAATAATAAGACTTAGATTGCAAAGGAAAAACAAAAAATAATATTATAAGTTAAATTTACTGATTTTTACAATAATTTATCAATAGATCTAATTTTTAAGTTTCAATTGAAACATTATAACAATTGGTTTTAAAGAGATGTATTATCTAATATCTCTAGAAAATCGAGAACCATAAAGATCTTAAAATAAAGTTTTTCTTTCTTTTAATTATATGTTGAATTGCAAATCTTTGCCAAGATTACACGAAAAAACTTATTATTCTTGGAATCAAACACTAATTGTATTTAAACATGACGTTTTTCGATGTTTATTATAGTAAATTATATATGCAAGAAACATCAAAACAAAACAGATTAACTATATATTTTTATTATTTTTTATAAGTTCTTACCTAATTGATTTTCTCAAACGTACAAAATTTATGTAAAAATGAAGAATATTTGGTTACGTGGATTTTTCAAAAATAGATTTAATGATCGAAAAAAACCGAACATAAAAAGTAAAAAGACTATTATTGATTATAATTAGAGATGAAATGTATATTCGAATAATCAAATTATTAGAATATTCGAACACTCGAATATCAGTATTCTATGCTACAATACCTATTATTATTAAATGTTTTGTGTTGCGCGACAACTTAAATGAATAATTTTCGTAACATATTGTGTTGTATCATCGAATACTGATATTCGAATGATCGAATACTCAAATATTTGAATTATTTACGCTAGACCTATTCGAATTCGAGTATTCGAATACTCAAATAATTTTCATCACTGATTACAACAATATTCATTTGTATGAAAAATTCATTTTTATTAAGAATAATATTTTGTTTTGAATTCTTAATATTTGTGGTTTTAGTATACAATCCATTCAAATAAAAAATGTATTATTATATATATTTGATACTGGCTATAGTTATTACAATGTTCTTCGTTGTGAATGGTTTTTTTTCTGAATCGGATGATTTACAAATATTTTAAAATCCATACAAATAAATATGGCTAACACAACAAATTGTTTACATTCTATACCAGTATCGTATAACTTTTTTCCCTTTCTTTCATCTGGCTGTAGATTAAAAATTGAAAACAGATTTTTATTTTAAATAACAATATCGGTTCACCATCAATAGTTACTGAGAATGATAAAAATGAAAGAAACAAATTAAAACCAAGAAGCAGAGACGAATATTTTTTTAGCTTTTGAAAAATAACCTAACTACTTTGAGAAAACCAAGTTTCACTAAGAATGGTATTTTTATGTACCTACGATAATTGTTGCGGTCGAACTAAGAATATTATTATGATTATTCTGTGGTGAAATAAACGTAGAGGAAAATTCCGAATTACAAACATTTGACCGGTCATATTTCTAACTTTTTTTGAAAAGCAAAGAAAAAAAATCCAAAGTGGCATTATAAATATGTCTTAGTACAAGCATTTCTATACATATTATATTATATAATATATTATATTAAGCATATTCTGTTATGAATAAAAAAATTAAAATAGATGGACGAAGGAACGAAGAGAGAAAAGCTTACAGCTATTGTATTGGTCCAATTTCCAAGCTTATAAAAAAAAGAAAAATATATACAGGATATTGTGTACTTTTTACTTTAAAAACCTAATGGAAAAAGTACGTTAAATTCGAACGATATTAAAATGTAGTAAACACTATATACATAATAATTGGAATGGCTAATTGATAATTCAAAATGGTAGAACCATGGACGTACATATTACGTGCAAACAACAAAGTTTATTATATGTAGTAATAGGTTCTTGATATCAGAGTTAAATTTTAATTGGATTTGTATTATATTTGATCGATTAAAAATGTTTATGTATAATTCATTTTATATTTTCTTGGTGAAAAATTTAGTTTTGAAATTCATGAATTAAAAACAATTCCTAATTTATGTTGAATTTCAATATTTCTAATTGAAATTTTTATACTCAGTATTTTCCTTCTAATTGAGAATATGAATAAAATTATTGCCATTTGTCTTTATCAATATAAGTTTTCCTAAACAGAAACTTGAAACTCAGATTTTGAGCAAAAAAATTGTTAAACACGCAATTACTGTTTAATTACATTCAGTGATATACTTGTTAAAAAAAAATCAAAAACAATTCTTCTATAAGTTAAGGATATTTTTAACCGTATGGAGAATTTTTGAATTTTTCGTCTCACAGACATTATTATAATGTTTCCCAAAATATAAGTGATATTAACAACGTTAACAGTTCTTAATCATAGTACGTTTGGTTTTTCTATTGCAGTTAGCAAGAATTATATGATTGTGTTATATAATATGTTATGTAATACTCACCGATCTGAAAAACCCGTTGATATTGCGCGGATGTATGTCTACGATAATGTTGAAAATGTGTTTGTTTTTGATTTCTCTCATCACTTGCCGATGCGTGTGCTGGTCCACTTGTCTGATGTAAAAGTCTGCTTTTGACATTTTCATTAGATTCTGCACGAGCAACAGACCTGCAAGTAAAAGCGGCGTTAATCACCGGTCGAGAAATCGTTTTAGGAAAAATATAACTGCGGAGCGTGTCGAACACCGCGATATTGTTGTGTAAAACAACGGATACATTTGCCTCGGGTCGTTAATCAAACCGTGTTTTTAATAAAGATCCTGACGGATGGAAGAGTACAAACACCGCCCGTACCATCCACTCGTCAGCTGTTGGAATCTGACAGGACGTGAAGTCGGACGGGTTTCGTTGTCGGTTGTTACCCTGCTTTTTTTTTTATACTGTGATCGTACGTAAATCAGAATCCCCAGGAGGAATTCGAGGGAACTTGAACGATCAAAGTGTTCTAACCTACTCTTATATTGGGTCAGGAGGAAGTGGCTTTACGGAGTCGTCCTTTTTTTAAGTACCGTGTCGTCATGTGACAATCGTCGGATGCTTTACGTGTTCCGTTTTAATTTGGTCGCCTCCATATTATCAATTGTGTACAAAAAATAAAATAAAATCATTGATATTTTTATACAATTATGTGCAAATAGTTTTTATCAATATACAAAATTAAAATTGTAAAAAAAATTTTGTATTTTCCATGAAATTGGGCGATATATGAACAGTGTTCTACAGCAAATAAACAAGACACGTGTGTGTATAATTATTAATTACTAACTGCTATCCACCGGCACAATTATTATTTTACTATGAAAATTACTCGTTTAAAAAAGAAAAAAATAACTGAAATTAATTATTGAGTAGTTTTTTGTTAAAAGTTCAGTCAAAACTGTTCGTACTATGGTTTTTTTTACACAAACATTGCGATTATCCCAAGATACTAGATCGGGTTGAATTCGGAAACCTCGCCGCGGCGGACAAGTAATCATACGATTTTTACCTTCTTCGTCGTCGTAGACGATTGCGATTTTCGTCCAGTTTAGAAAATTGATGAGGTCTCTGAACGCCTGGCCGAGATGTTCGCGGGCCGGAAACATGTCTGTGACGAAGTGCCGTCCGGTCAAGTCTGTCACGCCGTCAGCAATGGTCAGCAACAATGGCATGCTAACCGATTCGCAGATGGACACTATGTGTCCGGCTAGGTGACTGTCAGACGGTCCAAATATCGCGTGTACGCCACTTTCTAGTAGACGGCATACTGTAACAGAACACAATGATGGTAATGACATTACTTGAGCTAAGTATTGTCGCGAAAAAAATCTAAAGATACACAAATAGCATTTCGATGCAAGAATATGTAAAAATATAATTTTACCAATACTGCTAACAGTTTTAGAAATATATATTTGCTATTTTTTCAACTCATCATATTTTATATCATTGCAGTACTGTAGTATTAAACATCTCCATTAGTTTTGAAAACGTATTTCGGAAAAACACACCGGGCTGAGAATTCAATATAGTAATTTGGTCAAAAGCCATGCGCAGGGCACAGAAGTGCAACTTTGTTAAAATTAAGATTCTGAAGAATATGTGCATATGCGAAACTGCAGGTTAATTCATTCAGTGCGTACCTAACTACCTATTCGAATATGGAAAAATTTAATGAAGATTTAAACAATTTGTTAAAAAAAAAGGTTCAAATACTTCAGTTTTTATCAAGTTAAAATATGATCAATTAATTTTACATATAAATCAATTAAAAAACAATTCAAAGAAAAAGGACTATAATGAATGACTATAAACTTTTAAAATAAATTTGACGTGTTAAAATCATTTGATGTGTAACAAATTAATTGTACCAATAATCTGAAAACAATGAAATTAAATATTATGTAAGTAGTATGTATTTGTATGTTTTGGATCCATTTTTTACAGGGAGATTTAAAATATTTGACCGACAGCCCAACGGTATACTTTTTTTAGTTACCATGCTCACGATTTTTTCAAAAACCTATATGTATGTTCTGGCTCCATTTTTACAAAGAGATTCAAAATATTTGACCGACAATCCCACGGTAAACTTTTTTTAGTTACCGTGCTCACGATTTTATCAAAAACCTATATGTATGTTCTGGCTTCATTTTTTACAAAGAGATTTAAAATTTATGATCGACAGACACACGGTAAAATATTTTTAGTTACCATGCAAAAATGTACACTAAATATTTTTTACACATTTTTTTATTTGACTAAAATAATTTTCACGTTTATTTTTACACATTTCGATCTAACATTTAAATAGACTGTAAAATAATCCACGAACGTCACAACCACCGAATAATCGGATTCAAATTCGACTATAAAGGCATAAAAGAGTCGTTATAACGGCACACGTCGGACAGCTAATAGTAGACTAATATACTCGCAACGTCGAACTCTAAAGAGTCACTGGAACTTTGCCACTTGCACGCTAGACTCATGGTACCCATAACCGATCGTTTTTGTGGAACATGTTTTTGATCACAAATGATATTTTACGATTATGCTACAAGTCTATTGTAGGAAATTTTTTATATGTCATAGTGTAGCACTGTTTTATTTTCATTTTTTTTTCACATATTATTCATTTATAACAAATATTTTTTTATATTAGAGTTAGTTCGCTATATAGTATACAGTAGTCTATACAGTAGTCTGTTTCGATAACTTGTCTGTATTCGCATAGGCTTATAATTTCTCAGAGTAAATTAATCGTTTTATTGTAATGTATCAAAATTTAACTACACAAGTGATTTTAATAATTTATTATATGCAGTTAAAAACTGTCCAAGTTCTCAACATCCAGAGTATGCAATATTTACAAAACGGTTTCAATCACTCAAGAACTTTCCATCGGTCTTACCTGATAAATTAAAATTATCAGAGGCAAGATTTTTCAGTAAAACCAGAGATTCAGTTCAATGTATCTATTGCAGCTTAATATTAACTAATTGGGTTAATGGAGATTGTCCGTATCGCATTTAGTATTATCTAGTTCATTTAATTATAAGGGTTTAAATTCTAACTGTTGTAACATGCATAATTGTTATGATGAAGTTGATAAGTAATATGTTTTGAAATTATATGTAAAAATAATAATAAAATAATAATTATTATTATTTAAATGCTTTAATTCATTTCAATTTATTTGTGAATACTGTGTTCTAAACGTATAAGGCGTCACTTTCAAAGATAAATATGTTAGGTTTAAATAATAATTTAATAGGTAGGGATAGAATTATTAATGTAGGTAAGTGTTTAAATAAAACGTCTTAAACCATTAGAACACAATGTTCACTTTTATTTTTGTCGGTATATAAATAAAAAAAAAATGTTTCATTCGCATTAGTTATGTATTCAACATCAAAGGAGTTAGACTGCGTTAACTGTATTAAAATTTTAAAATTAATTAACGTATTTTAGAAAAAAGTCATACAATAAAACGACGTACATCTACCAGAATCAGAAGAGTTCCGTTACGTTTTTTCAATATTTATAATTTTTTATTTTTTATTTTTTTTAGTGCGTTTAATCAAACATGTCTTCACTAGTTCCAGTTCCAATAGTTGCTAAATTAAAATTTGAAATTTATAATAAAAAGTATGTTTCAGTTGGATATTTAATTGGAAAAGAAATTTCAATTGCTGTATTATTAGAATCAAACAGAAATAAAATCAAAATAAAATAAATTATTTAGAGAGACCTTTCATTGCGAACAAATTTGTATTTTTTGTGTGATTTGCAGCTACTCCGGTAGTTTTTCTGTAAATTCTATAACATTGTGCAAATTATATAAATTCTGAGCTCTGACTATGTTGATATTTTACATTTTTGACTTTAATAAGAATCCAAAATATCATTTGGTAAGTATTACTATTGTTATTAATATTTGGGCCAGTTTCACACACGACGGTTTTATCCGTGTGGATTTTAATTGGTAGAAAACTTATGAAAATAATTGCGGCTCTCGCACGTGATGACGGACGAATTTGGTCCGTACGGTCGACGTGATACAGCCGTGTAAACGATTGAAAAGTACGGCACCGTGCCGTCATCGTCTTACCTGTGACCTGTGTGATTTACCGCACGCTTTCACAAAGGATGATTTTTATTCGTCTGCCGACCGATGTAAAAACTTCTCGTTATCGTGCGTAGTGAAAAGACACGAATATTGAAATGTTATCAATACAGAAATGTTTATCACTGCTATAGAATGCAGATCTGTCTTAAGGGATATGTCTCAAGATCTTTACATAGAATCGGAACCAAAAATGCTTAGGAAGAAATGTGTATTCATTAATTGGTTATACCCGGTAAATACGATTGTTAATTAATATTGATTTTATAATATAATAATAATAATCGAAAACGAAAAGACAAAAACCACATGGAAATGATGCGTTTTCGATTTACAATGAAAACCAACTGAGATAAAAGATTGTAAGTGAAATATAATCAAAATGTAGACCGGTTCAAGGGGAAAATATTTTATAAAAAACCGTCACGTGTGAAAAAATCTTCCGTTCGGAAAAATTTCGTACGGATTTTAATCGTACGTACGAAACTGTGGTGTGAGAAACAAGCCAAAGAATATCGTGCTCTCGTGTTGTTCTGCTTCGAATCGGGTAAGTATCTACCTGCAGTTAATAGTTTTAGTTAAATGTTGAATTATAAACTATAATGCTAGCCAACAGGATAAATCAACATGTATATAATAACTATATTTATTTGTATTTCGTAAATTTGGTTTTATATACACGCATTGCTCCTGATCGTGATAAGTTATTATGACCCACAAACATTTACATCGGGTAATAACTTAGCGTCCCAATGTTACAGGTGCTTATTGATCGTTTAAATGTATAAACACGCGAAAGATGGAAAAATTAAGGAAGAAGAAGTACCAACCACCTGTTGCGTCAGAGAGATATTCACCTAAATCCGTCACAGGTATTCAATACAATTCCAAAATAGGATTGGAAACTACACCATAAAGTATTTTATTAGGTGGTTCTTTATACTTCTAGAATAGTAAAAAATATAGGTTACCAATTCATTATCTATTCTGGTACGAATTTCAATGGTATTTTTCACCAGGAACCAGAACCGGTACTGGAACCAGTTAACGTTTAAAATTTAGGAATCATAACTGAAACCGGAACCTTTATTTCCAAAAATGAAAAACCATAACCATAACCTTAATTATAAAAGGGTTAGTTTAGGTCAGTTATTTAGACTAGTAAAACTATGGTTTTGTTTGTCTATTTGTCGGTTCAGAAAAATAAGTCAAATCTTTTTATGTTTTTATTATTTTGTGTTGTAAACTGTAATAGTGTAATGCATATAATAAGTTAATTTTTAATATTATTATTATTATTATTTTTGTATGTTTATTAATATATTAAAATTTACAATGAGAATATCATCTATCTTGTCAGTTAAGTATTAATTATAATTAATGTTTATAAAAAATGTTTAGCTACAAGAGTATCCAGTATTAATTTTGATTACTAATTAATATTAAATTTTAAATTAAAGATATTTATTTCATCAAATCATAATTTTTCACAATATTACAAAATATTTACAAATTCAAATTCTCACTATGTATTGAAATAAAAACACTTAACCTAATTCAAAGAAATATAATAGGCTGATATAATATATATATATATATATATATATATATAATTATTTTTTTAAACTATTCATAATACCTTATATTTTCATAAAATAAAACGCTTAATGTTATTAATAATTTTACATATGGATCAAACAATAAATAACAATAAAAAATATCAGATTTCTTTAAAAAATATTTCTACTTTATTCATTACATTGTATTTTTTCATTACATACAATTTATACACATACATATTTATTACTTTATATTTTTTTAAAATTTTAATACAATATACATACCTACATGCATTATACATTTATTAGTATATATATATATATATATATATATATAAATAAATAAAATTATAAAATTAAGTCGTTGTGTTTTTTTTAATAAGCAAATATTTTCGGTAACTCGAATTTTTCGAGTTATCGAGATTCCACTGTAATTTCATATTATTTTTAATAAATCTCTAATAATCAGAATTAACTGAAATTAACCGGTTCTAGAACCCTTGCTGTTTTAAAAAACCAAAATCTAAACCGGAACCGGAACCGGAACCGAAAAAACCTATGGGTTCTAGTCCCTGTTTT